AAAATAAAATTGCATAAACTTTATCATTTTTAATTATTTTTTTATTCTTTGTGCAGTTTTATTATAAACTATTACTTGTGATTAATTGTGTGCATAGTACAAAACGATCATAAACTTCATAAATTGATATAATTAATTTTTTAATTGTTATATCTTCAAAATTAGTATCTTATAAAAGATAAGAAAGAGTTATGAATTTAGATATATTTTTTGTAACAATCGGGGTACAAATAAAAAAGATATACCCCGTAACATTTATTAAAAAAATTCAAAGTGTTAAGTAATTTTTTTATTTTTATATATTGAATATTGGTGTCATATGAAATATTAATAAAAAGTTATGAATTTTGATATATTTTTTGTAAGAATCAGAGCACAAATAAAAAAGTTATACCGCTTTTAAATAAAAATAAGATTTCATTTTGTGGTGGGCTCTATCTAATGTTGTCTTCCTGCTGCCTGCTTGTTCATGCGTGAGTTACTTATGTATAAGTCGTCACTTCAAGCGGCGGCTCTCTTAACTGGGATTGAGGGGAACAATATTTTGGGAAATACTTTTGTAACACCGTCCCCAAATGTATTTATCTTTGAGCTAATAATTTATTGAACCCTATGAAATATTTAGTGAATTTACGAAGTTGTGAATTTGTATTAATTTTTTCGCGTGAAAAGTAAAATGCATGTGGGGCCCACATCGGGAGTGGGGACCGCCTGATATTATCGGGGCCACATATTATATTGATCTTGGACTAGATAATATGTATATGGTGGTGGATATCCTAGTTGAGCCATGACAATGGCATAGGGTTGACCGGTTGGTCAAACGGGGCCAAATTATCAGTATCGGCAATCTATCGGATAACAGCCCGAAAAGGGATTTCGGAGACTTGTAAATTAAAGTTGAGGGATGCATATTGATTCTAAGGTCCATTAAGAATTGGGAACAAGTGTTATATTTTATTTGACCCGATAAAATAAAATATACTTAAAACAGTCCGGAAAAATACAACTTTCGGGACCGATTGTACACTTCTGGACAAAAAGGGTTGACCTCCCACATGGGTGGGGGCCAACCCACGATTTTAGCCTCATTATTCAGGGCCTTAGCAGGCTGGTAAGAGATATGAGGTGGGAGAGGACTAATTCGAGATGTTTGGCATCAAAACAAATCATGATGGCCCTCCTCCCTTTCACTCATTGCCCAAAAGGAGACAAAGAGGCATTCCTACCCATCCCCCTCCTCACTAGTTCGGCCAGCAGCAAGGGAAAGGAGGAAAGAACCTCTACAACTTCATCTCCATAGCCCCAAATCCGAACTCAAGCTCAAGGGAGTCCAACAAGAAAGTTTAAGAAGGAAAAAGCTAGGAAAAAGTGTGAAAATTAAGGTAATGACCTTATCATAACTTTTCCTTTGTTTTTCTTCTAGCATATAAGATATATATCATATGAAAGACCTTTAGTATTGTTCTACATGATTTAAGTGTGGAATAATGGGTTGGAAAGTGATTCTAAGTCCAAAAACGGACTTAGAAGCCAAATCGACCGGTTTGCCGGAAAATAACCTTTTATAGGTTATTTGTGTTGATATGGGTTTTGTGATGATAAAACCTTATTAGGAACTTGATTTAAAGTATTTTTGAGCCTCGCCGGAGTTTCGTCGGAGTTGGTCAAAGTTCGCCGGAGTTGGTCAAAGTCCGCCGGAGTTGGTCAAAGTTCAATCAAGAAACGTAGAACGCGCTTAAGCTTAATTAAGGTGAGGATGACCGACTATGTTACCTATAATCTTTGGGTTAATTTCATGGGATTTCCTAAGTGAATACAAATGTGATGCGTATGAGTTGTTAATGGTTAATAATGCCTAAATGAAACTACTATTGATTATAAGTATAGTATGCATGATACACAAATTTATGAATAAATTGTGTATGTTTAGATGTTGTGAATATGTGTGTATGATGGTTGTACTGACCATGAATATCATTTGAGATAGTATACTTTGATGCCATGAGGAGAAGCTATGAGGGTATGAAAGTGATACTTGATATTAAGGCCAATGGTGCAAGAAGAGAATTATATTGAAATAAATAAACAACTAGCATTGAAATGTTAGTTGGAAATATTAGTTGAGAAATGGATGAATTAGATCCTAAGAATTTGAATTATAAGGAATCGGTGATTATGAGCCGGACTCAAGACCGATGTAGATAACGGTGATTATGAGCTGGGCTCTAGACCGTAGTAGATGACGGTGATTATGAGCTGGGCTCTAGACCGTAGTAGATGACGGTGATTATGAGCTGGGCTCTAGACCGTAGTAGATGACGGTGATTATGAGCTGGGCTCTAGACCGTAGTAGATAACGGTGATTATGAGCTGGGCTCTAGACCGTGGTAAATAATGATGAATTGATATTAAATGAACGGATTAACTATAATGTAATAATGCTCTAGTTTGAGGGCCTCAGAGATTTAAACTTTGATTATACTTAGTATAGTTGTCATTGTACTTGTCAAATGCTTCCAAGTACTGACCTCCCCTTCACGGGGGAGGCCACCTCACAGTTTCAGGTAGAACTTGAAGGTTGCTACCACCAGCCGCTGCTTCGGGAAGTTTCTGAGGAGAAGACTTGGTTCGTGCTTCTCCCGTTCTTGTTTTGAAAAACAATATGAATAATGCTCATGGATAATATTTTCTGAATAATTATTTTGGGGGCTTGCATGCCTAATTATGCCAAGTGTGGCTTGAACACTTGTATCAATTGTTTCCGCTGTTTTAATAAATGTTTTACATTATGTTTGTTTATGGATGTACTATGTGTGAATGGTATTCAAGACGCCTTGTATAGTATGGATGAGTCGGACTGCGGTTGACTATTCGTACTGTACGACGGGTTGTTGACGTGTCCGGGTAGGTCCGGGGCGTGACAACTTTTAACCTAATCTTATTTAGGTAAATATTTTTTATTTAACATTATATTAGGAAAAAATTCAATAATAACAATAATAAGGCTAAAGGGTCAAATACGCCCTCGACATATGGATAAACTAGACTTAATGAAGAAGATGCTCAAAATATTTTATCAAAAAATTCCACCGGGAACCGCCCCAAATGGCGACGGCCGGACAGAGCCTCCTATATAAAGGGTGATGTGCACATTTTAAGTTAGTTGGAGGGCATATTTGACCCTTTAGCCAAATAATAATAATAATAATAATAATAATAATAATTATAATAATTATAATAATAATAATAATAAGAATAAGAATAAGAATAAGAATAATAAGAACAACAACAACAACAACAACAACAATATAACAATAACAATAACAATAACAATAACAATAACAATAACAATAACAATAACAATAACAATAACAATAACAATAACAATAACAATAACAATAACAATAACAATAACAATAACAATAACAATAACAATAACAATAACAATAATAATAATAATAATAATTAGTTAAGTTATAATAATAATAATTATTATTCTTAGTATTAATAACAATACTAAGGGAAAACTGTCAAATAGGCCCTTCTACTTTTAGGAAAACGTGAGTGGGTCATTGAAGTTTTTCTTGATTTGAGTCCACGAAATACTAAAAAACAATCAAATCTCCTATTTTGTAGGTCATCATCCAGTTTTACAATAAACTTGGTCCAAAAGTTAGAATGTCCCACCTCAGGAGCCCCACCCTGACCCGACAGGATGGTGGGGGAGTTAATCACAGTGACTCAGTCAGCAAAGCGGCGATAGGCTTTATACACGTGCACACTAGAGGTTCAACTTTATTTCAGGTTCTGTAACCTCTACACGGCCGCTGCGGGTTTCGTACCTTGGTCACTTGGTCCAATTTTCCCACCACTCGACCAACTGAGCTACTTGTGCGTGTCAGTTTTTCAATTAACAATTGGATGTCTGGCTGACATTTTTTTATTTTCTATTTTTTTTAAAGTTTTTCTATTTCTTTTTCTCCTTTCTTTTCTTTTGTTTTTTTCCTTCTCTCCCGGACCATCTTCTTCTCCTCCTACATTTCTTTTCTTTTTATTTTTTTTCTCTGGCGAAAGATTTCAGGCCTCCACCACCTCATCTCTATTTCTGCCACCCGGCCATGCCTCCGCACCCACCACCTTTGTCGCCCCTATCTCCATACTCACCATCTTCGCCCCGATCACCCTGTCTCCATATCACCACCTCTGCCGCCCGTACCTTCATACTCACCAGTCATCGGTTACCATCTTTGCCGCACCTAACTCCATACCCACAACCTTAACCGCCCGGCCACCCCTCCTCCATACGACCACCTCCACCGCCCCTACCTTCATGCCCACCGTCCACCACCGCCGCCCCTACCTCCATACCAAGTTACCCACCACCTCTGCCGCGGCACCACTCATACCTCCATAGCCACAACCTCCCGGCCCTTCTATGTTCACGATGGAGACATGAAACAAGGGAATGGAGCAGATTTGGCGGGAGAAAAAAAGATATTGTAGACATGGGGTGAGAAGAACAAGTAAATGGGAGGAGAAGAAGGTACTACCAGCATGCGTCTTCGGGGGAGAAAAACAAAGAAATACCCCGTAGAACGTAAAATGAATGAAGAGAAAAAGCCAAAAAAAAAAGAAAAAATAAATAAAACAATAAAAAACATCCACATAGGCACAACTGGGAAACCGAATGATGACCTACAAAATAACAAATTTGATTGTTTTTTAATACATTATGGACTCATATGATTTACGAAAAATTCCAAGGACTCGATTGATTTTTCTTAAAAGTAGGACTTATTTGACACTTTTTTTCTAATACTACTAATAATAATAGTACTAGCAACTATAAGTTTTTCAAAACGTGCATCGGTGCATGGTGATTTTAATCTTCAGTTTGTCAATTACATGGCTAGTCACTTCTCCAACTCATTTATGACTTATGAGTAGCAGAGTCAAAGTTTGATAATTGAACTTATGCCCGGGATTGGTATGATCTTGAGCCTATTGTAGTGTTATTTGTTTTATTGGTTTTAATATTCTTTCTTTTGAAACAAATAGTAGTAGCAACAGCAATAACGATCGAGTCATTCAAAGCGAAATAAGAAGACCTTCCTTATTCACACGACTCGGAAAATAAAGTGAACAGACCTAATTTAAACAGAAGTACAAAACCAGGAAACTCTAGTCCCATATATCTCAACTTTCCTCTGCTAGTGTGAGCCAATCAGTGGTTACAACAAATGCATATTGAATAATTTGTTAGAGGGGCTGGTTGTCGAGCAAAAAACAGAACACACAAAGAAAAGCTGCAGTTTAACTTGACATCATAACTTGATCAGCCGCTTGCAGTGCTTGGTTGGCGAAGAACCTGACATCGACATCTGGATCCTCGCTAAGTTCAACCAGACATGGACGGATGGTCTTCTCCACAACCTGACTCAAATAATAAGCTCGTCACACTTTTGTTTGACAGTTTTCAGAAATCACAGTGCCACCGAATGGAAAAATGAAAAGCACGTTAATGCGTAGTAACAAAAAATTGTTTTACCAATGTTGAATATCACCCTCACCTGGTCAAAGTAATATCTTCCTAAAAAGTAATTATTTTGCAGAAATCCTTAGGTCCCACTAGGCTTCTTACCCTAAAAATGCTTTTACGTGATGTGTACTCCTTCCTCCCCGAAGAAACAGACCCGGTTAAAAAATTCTTTCACCCGACAAGTCATATTTCATAAAAAGGAGCTAAATTTTCATTTGCTTTGCCAAAACACTTGCAGAGAAGTTCGATTGGGTAAGTTCAGTTAAATAAAACATACATATTTTAAAAATTAGTAAGATTCTATGACTTAAAAAGTTGTACCTTGACCAAAAATGACTTAAACATATGTATGTCTAGTGTTTCTAAGAAAATAAGTAAAAATGTACTGCGTACAATGGAGGGACATGCAGAGAGACATGATTGAACCCTTCTGAAGCCCTGCTGATTTTTACAGGACATGATTGGAACCCCAAAAAAGTACGGACACAAGAAATGTGTCTGTACTTTATTGTGTGACGGGTGCTCAAAATTCTATTCCGCATTTGTAAAGCCATACTTTATCAAGGAATAATATCTCAATACATTTAGCCACAGAGTAGACATATATGAAATAAACAATTTGCAATACTTACAGATTGGTCAACAATAGGAATGAGAGACTGCAAAACCTTGGCCACATTGAACTTTATATTTGCTACCCTGAAACATTGGGGGGGGGGGGATAAATATCAGTACATAATTCAAGAGATAGGGTATTTAAAAAAACTGGAACTGAACAAAAAAGCTTGTAACAGTTTTAAATACCGACCTATCCTTAGATGCAGTTACAATCACCGGCAGAAGTTTAGAGCAAGTTATTTCTGAGCCCATTACTGGGGCAAGTAGAGATATTGCGTGAAGGATGGTCATTCGGTAAAGATAATGTGGGTCGTTAATCATTTCCAAAACCTGTAACCAGAGCATAGAGGTTATGTGCATTCAACTGGAAAACAAAGGAGAAAGTGCACATTAATTATTTAAGGGTAAGATACCCAGTTAAAAATATTTTATGTTAGGTGGTAAAATAGCATAGGTCTTCATTAATTGACTGCTGAATAATATGTTCAAGAAAAGGGAAATACATTTCACCAAATGCTCCCCTTTGGAATAAGTTACCTAGATTAGGGGCTTAAGGCATTATCAAATTGACAAAAACATGAAACTAATGCCCCTAATTAGTCATTAAATCAAGTAATTGAATATGAAGGAAAAAATGTGCATCATTCTGCTCATCAAGAAGCTACACAATTGAATCAATAGATCACATGAAAACCTGTGGAATAATGTGCTGCATTGCCCATTCTGGTCCAAACTCTTCTGCAAGGCGTTTAACATTATTTGCAGCTGCATCTCTGATGGAGTAAACCTGCCAATTTTGGGGGGGGGGGGGTGGGTGGGTGGGGGTGGGGGCTAATCAGAAAATGAGGATTCAATAGGAGAATACTTAGAATGTGTTCGAGTGGGGGCTAATCACAAAATGAGGATTCAATACGATACAATATTAGTTATTGAATCTAACTGTAATACACAAAATAATCAAACTTAAAAAGATTGCCATAATTATTTAGGAGACTTTTAATTGCAGCATTTTATTATCTGCCATAAGTTCAACTGAGATTAACACTGACCTTATCTTTTAGCCATTGCATGCAAAGAGCCCCGAGCTTATCATCAAAAAAACCAACGCCGAGCTGACTTGCCAATAAAGGTATGTATTCTATTATTGCAAGGCGAACCCTCCAATGCCTGTCCTCTGCAAGCTCAACTATAGCAGGAAGCAGAGACTGGGACAAGAGATCAATTCCTATCACCTGCATTTATTTAATTTAGAGATATGAAAACTAAGAAGATAAAAAGAAGGCCATGCAACGAAGGAATCTGACACTATGTTTGGAACCAGAAGATGGTAGGTGAAGAGGAAAATACCAAGGAAAGGGTTTTTACATGTGGATAATAAGGGCTTTACCTTGGATAATACAAAGGAAAACCAAATCTACTAAAAAATAATTTTTTCTAGATCTCTTGGTTTTATTAAAGATAGATGTTTAAATCAACTGAGTTCGTAAGTTCCTATCTACTTTACTCCCTATTTCTTTCGTTCATAAGTTCCTATCTACTTTACTCCCTATTTTCTTTCCATATTTTCAGTAATTGTCCTAAATAGAAATAAAACAATGTGATATTCCAAAACAGGAGTGTATGTTTCTGCACTTAATTAGGGGTAATTTCTGCCATGCTTGGGAAATAGTGCCAATTATGACATTAATACTGCCATGCTAATGCTGGATAACCAAAATAAGACAGCATGATTTCAGGATGGCAGTAACTTACTCCTATTTCAGGAAAAAACATAGTACTCCTATTTCAGGAAAAAAACATAGTACTCCTATTTGAAATATCACATTATTTTTAGTCCTATGTCAGTAAAATTTTCCTAGTTCCAGGATCCAAGCAGATCATGGAGGAATGGAAGTGATTAACATAACCTCGGAGGTAGTATAAACTGGTATTATAAAACTCTAAAAGTTGGCAAGAACTGACCTGGTTGACTTGATCAAGCTTGCTGATAATATTCAGACGGACATCAGGAAACTCATCCTTCAGAAGAGAAAGAAATATTGGAAGAAGCTGCTCAATTGTTGCATCCTAAAATCACAAATATAATACAGACTCAGTTCTTTTGGACAACAGTCAGGCCACAAGGGTTGCCATTCAGTTTAAGAAAGTTTGACAAAATGGGAAGTGTCTGTACAAGAAGTCTACATAACATACGGCATGCATAAATACATATGTTTTTTTTATATAATTACATACAAAAACCTAGACGAAGACAATGTTGCTGCTAAGATTCCAGTAAACTAGGTAGCATCAAGTTTTATACAAAGACAATGAGGGGGGAAGAAGAAAGTTGTGACCTTTCCTAGAACAGGTGCCATTCCCATTATGACAGATGCCAAAGCCGAGCGTACATGTTGAGACGAGTCTGAAGAAAGTTCCTAAAGTTGGTAGAAATGTAAAATGATGAATCATTAGTCGTTGAGAACTGTAACAGTTAAAGTGGAGGGCATACAGGAAAAAAAGATAATAGTACATCACTCGGAAAAGCATCATTTTGGGTTGAAAAAAGAGTGACGATTCTGCATAAGTTCTTGCACCTTTACACAAGGAAGGATATGCTGGATTGCTAAATCGGGACTTAAAATCCGACAGAACTTAGTTACTTTGCCAGCTGCTGCAATACGCACTTCAGCTTCGTTATCACGGAGTAATCGGACATAAGCTGGAACCAGGTCCGTTCTGTAGAAAATCACCTTATCATCACACATTAGTGTTTCTAAAAGAAAAAAGAGAATATTACCTGAAATAGGACTAAAACAGTTTGAAAATTACAAAATATGACTACCATGTTTTTATTCCAAAAATAGGAATAATTACTGTCATGTTTTGGCAGTACCAGACTTCAAACATGGCAGTATTTTCTAAACATGACAGTAATTAGTCCCTTGGTTTTAAAAGGCACGATGCGTCTTGAGGCGATTTCTTTGATTTACCCGAGGCGCGAGGCGCTAGGCGGTGAGGCGCGCGCCTCACGGATCTCAGCCACATTTCTTTGGTTAAATATATTTTTAGTACTTTTACATAAAGCACTCTTCTCAAAAATACTTCAAACTATTAAACAATCTTAATAAACATCATATTTTGATTCATGTCATGTGATGTGACTAAGTGATACTGTTGGCCGTCACGCGCCTACCGCAACACCTTCCTCCTTTATTCTGGCTTGGGACAGGCATGATACAAAAAAAAATGATCTCGTGACGGAGTTTTAATAAACATCACAAGAGAAACAAAATATTAATTACAGACAATAAGACAGAAGAAAGAAATATATGTTTAAAGGCATAATTGCCAAAAGTCAAGTCACAAAACTCAGTCTTAAAACTTCAAAACATAATTAGCTTATATAAAACTGTTAATAGTAATTTAAATAATTAATGTAATAAACTGTGATAAATTAATAGTCATTTTGTGATAATTAAATAATTAACTTATAAAACTGTTAATATTAATTTAAATAATTAATGTAATAAACTGTGATAAATTAATAGTCATTCTGTGATAAATTAAATCATTAAGTTATATAAAAACTATTAATAGTAATTTCAATAATTAATGTAATAAACTGTTATATAAAAAATTGTTAAAAAATGTTAATAATAATATCTATCAAAACTTATATATAGCGAAAGATAATACTACATATGTATCAGTTATCTAACTTTTTATTTAAATAAATTTAATATTTTTATAAATATAAGAACTTAAAATAAAAAAGAATAAATAGCAGAAGATAAAAAAAAGACTTACCTCGCAGAAGTCGGAATAATACCAGCGCAAGACAGGAAGACAAAACGCAGAAGGGAATTGCAAGACCAGCGCAAGTCCATGAGGCGTCAAAGGCGCTCGCCTCTCAGAAGCGCAAAAGGCGCTAATAAGCGCAAAAGGCACTCGCCTCTGAGAATCTGAGCCGCCTGGGTAAGTTAAAGGCGATAAACCCTTCGCCTGCAAGCGCCTAGCGCCTTTGCGCGCCTCAGGCGCGCTTTTTTAAACTAAGATTAGTCCTATTTTGGGAATAAAAAACATGACAGTCCTATTTTGGAATTTTGAAACTGTTTTAGTCCTATTTCGGGAACTTTCCCAAGAAAAAACTATTAAAAAGAAGTTCGCTACCGACACTACACACAATTAACCGATACTCCCTCCGTCCCGCTAAGATTGTTCCATCTTTTCTTTTTGGTCTGTCCCATACCAAATTTGGTAATATCGGTGTGGTTCTAAATTGTTCTACTTTATTCCCACTTTATCAATTCAATATCAACCACATGAATTTACTTTTCTTGAAAACCGCACCATCTTCTTATGCCAATGTTAGGGGGACGGAAGTAGTACATTTAGGCTCATACAAAAACAACAACATCTAAACCTAAGTCCCAAAAGAGTTTGGGGTCGGTTAACATGATTCAACATATGAAACCGGAGCTAAAAAAGAAAAAGATAAGATAACATAAAAAGAAAGATAATAAAGATAAAAAAGTTAAGATAAAGATAAAGAAAAAAGGAGATAAAAAGGATAAAATAAAAACGATAAAAGATAAAGAACATAAGAAAGAGAAAAAGGATAAAAAGACAAAAAAGATGAAATGAGATCATAATTTGCCTCCACTTATATTTAGGCTCATAATAGAAGGAAAACAATAAATGAAGAAAAACTAGATATTAAGCTGTGGAAACAAAATCAAATGACAAACATATAGAAATCAAATCCACCATGTATCCAAAAAAAACCTGGTAGCTTCAGGTCCAACTGCTTCACAAAGCTCATATAGTTGATTTGCAACCATGTAGCGAACACGCCAAGATTTATCCTGACCATATAGATAAATATGTAATTATTTAGAGTAGGCTATTGAGAAAAAGTATGCAAGCATACCCCATAAATTGAAGTGGCCCACATTTAAAAAAATGCATGCTTTTAAATCATTATTACAAAAGCAGTTATATCTATTGTATGTTCTTAGAATCATGATGTTTCCTCAACTTGAATTTAGTACAAAGATAATGAAAGAATTCAACCACCAACAAGCTTAGATATGAATAACTGGAAAAATGGTCTGTTTGTAATGAAAACAACTTCTAACCGCATCACATGTCCATCAAGAGAACGACTGAATGACTGTGTCTTCAGTTTTATGTTACTATTGTAGGTTAAAAGAGTGTGACACCTTTATAAACAATATTCGTCAGTACTTAGCCAACCTGCGCAAAATTAACTATGACAGGAAGGATTTGTGCTGCACAATCTTGAGGTTCCAACAATTTCCCTAAAGCAGCACAACCCTCAACAGCCAACAAACGAACAGAATCTTGATCTGGGAGAGAGAATAAATGTGTCATCAGTTGCAGAACAAGTAACTAGAATACTTAAATAAGCAATGGGCAAAAAAGGCCTTCTTCTTAGTAGCAATGTTACCTCTTAGTAGCTACTTTTCATAATACAATACTGAAAATCTTTGTAGTGGACTCATTTTTATGGTACTTTTACAAGATATAACTTTAACTACAAGCCCTACACTGATGTAGTCATATAGCTATGCCTTCTCACCATTAAAGATTCTGTATATGACATACATTTCCATGATTTATTTATTATTGATCTTTTCCTATTCTTTTCCGCCATCTTTGCCCTCACAACTAACAGGCTCATAATACAAAGAATGCATCATCACTATGCTCCAGAGAGAAAAGAACTACCACATCAATAAATTTTAGCACTCCTAATTACAGACGGGGATGTTAAAGTGAAGTTTACGTTGAAAATTTCATGAAAACGAAAAACACTCCTCATAGATACTAACGATAATACACTTTATCTGTGGATGGAAACTATGGGGCACAATAACCCAAATAATCACACAGAAGGTTGTAAAAAACCATACCATCTTGAGTCAAATCCTCAAACATCGACATTATGTCAGTCTTTACGTGTGGCTGTTCAACAGTAGCAGCAAATTTCCCAAGATTTGTCGCAGCTGCTCTCCTTACCATAGGCATGTCATCTTGGCACAATTGACTAAATATAGTTCTAAGTTCACTTTTCAATGGCTCTGGAGCACTGGGATAAGCAATGTGAAATAATCCACATGATGATACACGAGCAGTAAACCACTCGCCCGCTGCCAGCCTCTGAATGGATAATGTGATTCATGTCAACAGCGTGCAGCAAGGTTACGGTAAAGAAATATCAGATATCAATCACATCCAATAGGTACTTCACTCAGACACTAACATACCTGAAGTGCTTAAACTAGTTATGTTTCACATTTTAAATACAGATGGGGAGAAAACTTAAGCACAAGATGCAATGGATAAAAACTGAGAAGAGAAATAAACAAATCTCCCATATCAAACCAACAAGCCCTCCAAAAAGTGAATGACAATACCGTGATTGTTAATATCATTATGAAAGTACTAGGACTACTCCAAAAAAGATTTGGAAAACATATACAACCAGCATTATAATTTCCATCATTTGCAATGGAGCCAAAGATTCATTATTTTTTGGCTTGAGATTATGATGGAATAAAGCAAAATGGCTCACTAAACTGTCTGCGCTTCTTTGTAATGAAGCAGCAGTCAGTCCATGCAATTTTGGACGCGATTTTCACTATGGGTCATCCGGAAACAGTCTCTCTGTGCTTTAGTATAGGGGTAAGACTGCGTACATCCGACCCCCCCTTACCCCACCGTAGGTGGGAGCCTTTACGGCACTGGGGTAAATGAAAATGATACAACCAGCATTATAGATATCCAAATTCAGTAAAACAAAATAGATGACATCTTTAAAATGTTATTTCCCGTACCAGAAGCACAACTAAGATGCCAACCGTGTCACCAGAATGTCAAATTGTTACGAGGGAAAATGTACAAATATACCCTGTATTATAGGTGTGAGAACAAATATACCCCTGTTCTATTTTTCGGAACAAATATACCCCTGAAATATATGTGGAAGTGCATATATACCCCTGAACTTTTAAAATGTGCAAAAATATCCCTCATGTTCTTATAATGGAACAAATTTACCCTTATTGACTTTAAATTGATAAAATATATTTCAAAAAACACCAAAATAAATTATAAATTTGAAATTAAAAAATAAAAAGATTTGAAAAATGTACTTGTGTCCAATTCTCACTTTTATTGTTTTATATCACAAGTTTCAAAACTTTACTATATATTTTAGATTCTTTCGAAAAAGTATTAACATATATGTTGCAATGTAAAAAATAATATTAATTTTGTGCATTCTTTGCACTATAAAATTACATATTTTGTATGATGATAATGGTCCAAGATTACGAAATATTGAATTTAATTTTATTAAGGGTAAACAAAATCAAAGAATGTTGTTTCAAAAAATGTAACAATGTGTTCAAAATTTTGCAACAAGGGGATTAATATTTATGAATTTGAAGTGATTCAATTTACAAAGGAAAATTAATAATTTTGCAAATAAAAAATTAAAGAGTTAATATTTTAACATAATAACAGATCTTTATTTTTAAATTTCAAATTTATAATTTGTTTTTGGTGTTTTTTGAAATTTATTTTATCTATCTAAAGTCAATAAGGGTAAATTTGCTCCTTTATAAGAACATGAGGTTTTTTTTGCACGTTTTAAAAGTTTAGGGGTATATATGCACTTCAACATATACTTCAGGGATATATTTGTTCCAAGAAATAGAATAGAGGTATATATGTTCTAACACCCATACTACAGGGGTATATTTGTACCTTTTTCCTTGTTACAGTAGAAGTTCCGGAGCATCAGCGAAAGCATATCAACACAGAGAGAGCAAGAAATTGAAAATACACTAAATAGACACAAGACCATTAACAATAGAGTTTTCACCTTCACAAGAGGAATGAACGCCTCTACCAAGTCAGATTCCTTCATTTGAGATCCAATTCTGCACAATGACTCAACAGCCTTTTCTCTGACACAAGTCTCTTCAACGCTACAGAGACCTTCAAGTGGTGGAAGCAAAACACTTGCATGTTCAACTCCGCCAACATATGGAATGAAAACTCCCAATTCTTCTGACATTGTAAGAAGCACTTCATCATCATCATCATTGTTCTCACTCAGAAAAGGAATCAATTCCTTTCGAGTTCTCTCCTCTCCAAGTGCACGAGCAATTGTTGACAAACGACGGATTGAGTTCAACCGAAGTTGAATGTCTTCATTCTTGAGCTCATCAATTAGAACCGCAATTGGGTACAGGGGCTCTTCCATGATGGAAATGTGGTGTCACAATGCCTTGGTCAATTACCTTTCCTATATGTGTTCATCAAGTACTCACCTTTAATATGTTTAGTTTAGGAAATTGCTAGACATTTCACCGGGAAAAATGAAATAGTAGAAATTTTAATTGGTACTTCACACCAGCTTTTACATGAAGAGGAATACTCAAGATTTACCAGTCACACTCATCAGTAAATTGCAGAAAATAATATATCATTGGTCCATTGCTAGATCAATTATGTAAGTGTTCATAAATTTTGTGCACCCATTTTTTGAAATGTTCAATATAAGGGTGAAGACCCTTCCATATTCATGTAATTAATATAAGAATTGATGTATGTACACTCTTGAGGCTCAAAACGAGATCCCGTACAGTTCCACGGTTCACAAACTTCAATGATAACATTAAGAAATACATGAGACCAAACGAAAAATATTCAGTTTTTACGTAAGGAACATTACAAGTTTGAACAGGTAACATAAAATTCAAGTTTACAATAACGAAGTAGGTTCATCAAACGAATTCAAGAATCTTTACAGAGCATGTAAAGATCTTTTCATTACGCATATATAAAATTCAGATATACAAAGCATACTATCAATTTTTCGAAGTGAAGTCTACGCCATTTAGGCTGATAATAATGCCTATTACATTTGAAATAATGAGTTAGCCTTCATTCCAGCGATAAACTAATACCAGGATATTCAGTATTTATTCCACGCCTTGGATACGTAACCAGAAAAAAGAACGAGAATTCCGAAAATGACCAGATTTGTGCAAGGAAGATTCATTGACTAAAGTAATTAAGAAGATCGTCGCGTTCATGAAACAGGTGACGATTTCGGAATCTGACAAAACCACATAAATAATGAATAGGGAGGGATTACCTGGAAACTATGTGAAGAACGATGAGGTCGATCTGAGGCTGCAATGATAGTGAGAACAGAGATCTGCTTGTATTATGCTGTTTCCGCAAATTGTCTGAAAATTTTGCTTTAATCGAAAAACAATAAATAATTATTTTCACCTCTATGTATTATTAAGGAGAGAATTCCCTAAATAGGAGTAAAAAAATTTTGAAATTCCAAAATAGGAGTATCATGTTTTTATTCTTTAAATAAGATTAAATTTCTGTCAAGTTTGACATTACTAGACTTTAAAACATGGCATTTTTTTCCAAACTTGGCACATTACTCCTATTCAGAGAATAAAAAACATGATACTCCTATTTTGGAATTTCAAAACGTTTTTGCTCCTATTTAGAGCAATTTCTAATTATTAAATTGAATTTTTTACTCTTTCAAAAAATAAATTTTTTTTTTTAAAATAAAACTTATTTACACAAATAAAACTTATTTACACAAATATGACTAATAGTTACTACAATGTATTGTCATTGTAAATTAAGATTAAAAATTGAATACTCCGTATAAGCTATTAGAGAAAATTCCTGAAATAGGAATAAAAAAGTTTGAAAATTCCAAAATATGTCTGTCATGTTTTTATTCCCAAAATAGGAGTAATTACTGTTAGGTTTGGAAAATACTATCATGTTTAAAGTCTGATACTCCCAAAACATTGAAGCAATTAGTCCTATTTTGAGAATAAAAACATGATAGTCGTATTTTGGACTATACAAACTTTTTTATTCCTATTTCAGGATAATTTCTCAACTTATTATGATTTCATGACTGATTTGGTCACAAGTCACATTATTAAAATGATTTTTATTTTAGTCATATACATGTGATTATTTCTATTAAATTTAATACAAGGCAATTTCACCCTTGAAAGTAAACACGCAAATAAAACAATTTGTTTATCCTTCGAACAGAGGACTAAAATATACTCCGTACTATACCTTCTTATTCTACTCTTATCATAACTTAATAAGAAAAACATATTTTTATTTGTAATAAAAACATTAAAAAAATAAAAATATTTTAACTTATAATAAAATAAACTAATCAAAATTTTAAAAACAAAAATTAAAATAAAAAATTTAAAAATAAATAAAAAATAGATAAAACACAAAATATAAAGATCTGTGTTGGCATTTTTTTCTTGTGGTTGGAGCTGGTGGTGCTGGGAGGTTGTTGATCAATGTCAAATTATTCTCTAAAACTATCATCAAGATGATATTACTGACACATGTTGACATTTTTTATTGTGGTTGGAGCTGGTGGTGCTGGGAGGTTGTTGATGCGGTAGCGGAGGCTGCATTTTGTAATTATATTTTTTTACATTTTTATGTTTTATTTTAATTTTTTAAGTTCTTTAATTTTTATATTTTTTTATTTTCTAACTGTTTGTTTTATTGAATTTATTTAATATTTGTTTTCATGTTTTTTAATTTTTTTTACATTTTTAGTATAAATAAAGTTATGTTATTACTTTTACATTTTAATTATTAATGAAATATGAATTGTATTAAAACAAAGTAAGAGTATGATCGGAAAGGTAGTGTATTTAGAGAATTTTTAAAGCTATACTCAGATTCTTACAAGTAAAGTTTCATTTAGTCATATTTGAAGAATTTCTGGAATAACTGAATAGAGTCCAAAAGGAAATTTGGACAATGTGATAAACAAAGCATTGGGGATGTTTTTAATAGAATTGATTTCAATCCTCGAAGAGACTAGACTTAAACATATCAGATCAAACCGATTTTGATCAAATTAAACTTTGACAGTTGTAAAATACATATAAAACAGACATCTATCAATTGATGTGGATCGGATTACACAGTTCAGATTAGACTTAAACATATTCCAAAGTAGTTATATGTTTTTTTTCTTGAAATAAGAGTACATTATTGCCATTCTCAAATCATATTGTCATATTGTCATATTTTGACATTACCATGCATTACTATGAAAATATTTCATAATTGACTATATTTTTCAAGTATTGCAGTAACTACTCCTATTGAAGAATGACATATCATTTTTAAAATTTCACATTACTATTTAGTCTGATTTAGGGCAATTTATGAAATAGTTTTTGTGTTCAAATTTAACCACCATGTTTAAGGAGTCCCGACTATCCATATGATTCATAAATTCCAAAAAGTAAAAACTGTTTTATTCTTATCAAACTAAGCTAATATATCATGTAATTTTCGAAAAATAGAATGCCTTAGACAAGTTACATAGATATATTTAGTTAATCCCAAAAAAAAATGTTGGAATAACAAACAGACGAGCAAACAAATATTATGTATGTTTTTGCATGGGATTACACACTTGGTGCATGCTGCAACTCATGCAAATGTGATCGATCTTCAAGAGTTTAAAATGGACGCTGGATGAGGCTTAAGACCAGGCCAAGGAAAAACCAATAAGGCCTTGTGTGGTTTTGGATAGGCCATATATGGCTTCACCATCACCGAAATCCCTCGCAGTTATGATTTTTGTACTAGCTTTTTTCAGCCACCTCCGCCTTCTGCCTACCGCGCTCTCGCAAGCCAGCACAGTCGCCGCGTGTTTTCCCTACCTGCTGCCGTTGCCCGTTGGGTTCGTGTGGACCATTCGTGCAGGGGAGAGTGCCCGTGCCCGCCCAGCAATGTTGTATCAACCTTAAGCAAATCTACAACAGCCAGCAAGGGGCTGCTTGTCTCTGCCCTCACCTCAATGCTTCCACTTGGAACTTTTTCCCTATCAATTCTACTTTAGCACTTCAGCTCCCCACTCTCTGCAGCCTTCAGATCAACACCTCTCTTTGTTCAGGTATCTTAATAACTAAGTTCTCAAGGATTAATTTCAGCTGCCTTCTTGTGATTACATCAATAAAACTGCCAAATCAGCATCGAGATTTCTATACATTACAACTAAGTCCATTGATCTCTAAGATTTTTTCCTCGAGACGGTGAAAGATGAGGGGACCGCCCTACGATATACGTCCCTTATGGGAGGTCTCGGGTTCAACATTCAATGGGTAAAAAAAACTAAGAATGAGTTTTTTGCAAACTGAATTACCCTTACATTTGTCCTAGAGATCTTTTTCGTTATTATTGGACAGTCGAGCTGATAAATTGCATTAAACCACGCAACAAACTCAATCTTAAGATGGACGACTATTGTCATCAAAATATTCAATTCTATAATCAATCAACTAGTAACATTAATTCTCTGTGATGCGCAAAAAAATAAACAATCATTTTGTAATTTGACTAGGGTTTTTCAGCATAATAATATTTATACATATTGACGGCATTTCCCGTATTTTCTGTTCATTCTTTGAGGCAAAAACCCTCAGTGTTCATTCACGTTTTCATTTTTCTTTTCCTAGATCCTCAAGAAACTATGATGCCTCCTCCATCTCTTCCTCCCATTCAAGTTTCAATCGGGATGACAAACGACTCAACCACTGCAGGTATGACACACAAACAAAAATACTTCCTCAATATAAACATTTTAGTCAATGTTGTGAAAAAACATAGTAGGGGCCGGCTAGATGGTATACTGGAACTCAGTGCTTCGGTTGGGGCATGTTAGAATGTAAACTTGATTTTGGGCTAAGTTAATAATTGATGTTTGTTGTAATGGGCAAAGCCCAAAATAATTAGGAGTGTTCTAGAGAGAAATGTTCTATAAAGTTTCTAGAGTGTGAGACTTCTAGAGTCATTCTAGAGAATAATTAATAAGGAGAATTCTAGAGAACTCCCCACCAATTTATTGTGGATGTGAGTAGTATAAATAGGTGTAGTTGTGCTCATTTGTAATCGAGCATCAAGCTAAGAAATCTTCAAGCAATAAAATACAAGTTTTCTCTTCTTCCATCCTCTCTTCTAGTTAGCTAAAAGTTTTTTCTACTTACACACTTATCTTCATAACGTCCTAAAATACTTAGCCTCTACCTCTAATATTCCAACAAATTGGTTTCAGAGACATGGCTAACGGGATGCAATCCTTTCAATTCCCTCGCCTAACCAAAGACAACTATAGTACTTGGTGCATCCGAATGAAGGCAATATTAGGTTCACAAAAGGTGTGGGATTTGGTGCTGAATGGCTACGTTGAACCGGAGGATGAAAGTACTCTTAGTGCACTCCAAAAGGACGCATTAGAGAAGGCTCGGGAGAAGGATCAAAAGGCAATGACTCTCATTCATCAATGTTTGGATGACAATCAACTTGTGAAGGTTGCAAATGCAACTACTTCGAAGCAAGTTTGGGAGATTCTTCAAAATACATATCGTGGAGTCGATAAGGTAAAACGCGTTCATCTCCAAACACTTAGAGGTGAGTTTGAGTCTCTTCAAATGAAGGAATCCGAGTCTATTTCTGATTATTTTAATAGAGTTGAGAAGGTAGTAGATGAACTAAGGAGGAATGGAGAAAATTTGAAAGATACAAGAGTGGTAGAAAAAATTCTTCGCTCTTTAACTCCAAATTTTGAGCATGTGGTAGTGGCTATTGAAGAATCACATGATATAGACTCGATGACTATAGACCAACTCAACGGATCACTAGTGGCCCATGAAGAAAAATGAAAAAGAAGAAAGTGCAATATCCGTTGGAGCAAGCACTTTATACACAACTCTCACTCAAAAGAGGTGATGGTCAAAGAGGGCGAGCTAGGGGCCGTGGACGAGGTCGAGGCCGAGGAAGAGGACATGGTGAAAATCGTCAAGAACATGAAGAAGAGAAAAAACAATACCTCAAGCCGACAAGAGGTCATGGAAGAGGCGGTTACCAAAGGTATGAGAAATCACAAGTTAAATGCTATAATTGTGACAAATTTGGTCATTACGCTTCCAATTGCAAATCTAATTATTGTGAAGTGGAGGAAAAGTTTAACCCCATCAAGGATGAAGTTGATCTTACCTTATTGATGGCACATGATCTTAAAGAAAAAGAAAGAAAGAGTATGTGGGTGTTAGATACTGGGGCTAGCAACCACATGACCGGCAACAAAACCATGTTCGCGGAAATTAAGCAAGCCAACGGAAAAGTCACATTTGGAGATGAGTCAAAGGTATCGGTTGAAGGAAGAGGTAACATCTTAATCCGTCTAAAGGATGGTAGCCACCAATTTATTTCCGATGTTTAT